ACGCAAGTGACAAAAGAGTGTATAATACCGACATCCAAACTCTCATTTTAACCACAACTAAACATAATATCAAGGCCGGATATATTGAACTTTCAATCAAATTGACTGACATGCGGCCTCACTCAACAGCGGCCTCGCTTCGTACACTATCATTTAGCCTCAATCTAAAATTTTCGGTAGTATGACGTCAACGTAACGGTTAATCTCCGCTTACGACGCCATTTAAAAATTTAATCAATCAATGAAATCCTGTTTAAATCCAAGCCGAATCCAAGCCATCCGTGGGTCTACAGAGTTTATTTTGTGCTTGTTGTGTAAATAAAGATATAATTTATAATTTATATGACATCTGAAGCCTAAATAAAGACTTGCAATAATCAGATTTAGCTCTTGCATAATGTATGTTTAAACTTAGGTAATTTTGTAGTTTGCAAGGGGTTCAAATCTTCAATGATGATCAGTGATTTTAAGGTAAGAAATTATTGAGGAGTCATGATGGCACGAAAGCAGACCGGTTTTATTCTAAGATTGTGCTCCCAAATCAACTTTAACATTACAAGTGATAATAAAAGCCCTGTCAAATGAAGTGAATGTATCCAGAGACCATCCATTGTGCTGTACAGTTCCAGGCCTGCAGTCATTCAGGCTTGACTTAATAAGAAAACAAATTCACTAGTCAACCCTGCATCACCAAAAACGAAAAATTTCTAAAACACTATTTTATTCTGGTGCATATCATGATCGACAACTAGATCACCTCCCCACCCCAGCCACCGACCCATGAAAGGAAGAGAGACGTAGCTATATGAGGAGTTTAGTTTATCGTGTATAGGTTGATCTAGGTTTGTTTAGTAGAGCATGTGTGCAAGCTAAGTTGTATATTCTACAGATACATGTACAAAGGAAATTAGTTACAAGTGGATTGTAAATTTGATAATATAAATAAAAGTTGTCAGATAAATTAACAAAACTCCTACACAAAATCTGCAGGCTACACGGAAATCTTTTCTTAAAACCATTAATTATAAAGTTTCTAAAGGTTAATCATGCTCATTTTAAAATGAATCTACAAGTTCTGTGAAACTTGGCCAATAATGTTATAAATGATACTATTCAAGAGGAAAAATATGAACCAGTTTACACAATGGTGAGCTGAGTATCATCATGAAAACAGCAGCCTTTTTACTCAAAATTTTATACCACAATAGATGACTCATACTATGATGATAATAAATATGATGCTGATGATGTTAGTCATTCATTATTTATGCTGTTGGTAAAGATGATGATACCGATGATGTTAGTCATTCATTATTGATGCTGTTGGTAATGATGACTGATGATGATACTGATGATGTTAATAAATACTAGGATGATAATAAATATGACGCTGATGATGTTAGTCATTCATTATTGATGCTGTTGGTAAGGATGACCGATGATGATACCGATCATGTCAGTCATTCATTATTGATGCTGTTGGTGAGGATGACTGATGATGATACTGATGATGTTATAGTCATTTTTGATGCTGTTGGTAAGGATGACTGATGATGATACCGATGATGTTATAGTCATTTTTGATGCTGTTGGTAAGGATGACTGATGGGGATGCAGTTTGTAATGATCCTGTTGATAAGGATAAATGATGATGATGCACGTTAAACATGATGTTGATAGAAGGACAATTGATTATCATCATGTTTGTAAGGATAATTGAGGTGACAATTATGATGTTGATCATTCATTATGCTGTTGGCTTGGAGGAATGACAATATAAATCATGATGCTAATGGTAGGGATGTTTTTTGGTCAACAACTAAAGGCCAGTCATGAGACATCGCTTATTATACTAACGGTAAGGATATTTCCTGGTGACCAACTAACGGCCAATTCGATTTCGATTCATGAGATTACAGTCATGATGGTGATAGAAAGGATGTTTCCTTGAAACCAATAAAAGGCCGATTCATGAGATAACAGTCATGGTGCTGATGTAAAGATAGCTTCCTGGTGACCAACTAAAGGACGATTAATGAGATATGGGTCTTGATGCTGACGGGAAGGTTGTTTCCTGGTGACAAACTAAAGACTGGTTCATGAGATATCAGACATGATGCTGACGGTCAGGAAGATGTTGTTGGCCATATTGATATTAGGATGGCAGATGTGACCAATCAATATGAAAACAGACTATCTATTTAAAGAGAAACCAAATGACTATGCTAAAGCAGTATAGAAATAATAGAAATAATCAGTGAGGCGGATGTCTCCCAACCCAATCCCAAAATAATTAGATGGCACATATTAATTAACTGCACATTTATCTTTTTATAAAGCATTGAGCAATCAAACTGCTGATCTATACAGGTCATGATAGAATTTAGTCATGGTTTTGATGTAGTGAACATATACACTAAGTTTCATAACTCTCCCTCAATAAGAATCCAACTTTATTGTGCCAGAAAACATGAAGTATCGAGGAATCAAATAGTTTACACTACTTAGCCAAAGCAGAAAAGGCTCATCATCAACTCCGTTTAGGTGGGGACAATTAAATCATTTATCAATTGTTAAACTATAATAATTATAATCAATAACATACATCTATATTTATTTATTCAATAGTATATAATATGTATGAGACGTAAAGACATACACTACAAAGTTTACTTTTCTAATTTTTCACATCATTATATCAACATGAGAGAAAAGTATGTGATACATGCAGGTTGATTTGCTAATTTGTCGAGCAAAAAAAAAATCTCTGAAGAAAAAAACATTAAAAAAACAATCAAATGGTAAAGGTCAAAGTAATTCAGTAAAATATTAGATTCGCGTAAAGTTCATCATGTAGCACAGATAATTTCAATAGGTCTTCTCCCAGCTTTCAAATGTTATTCGTTCGTTTTCATCAAAAGAAAATTCTGTTTTTGTCTTGTGTCCTTAAAATAATTTTGTACACTGCGACATTTGTAAATCTTCATGATTCAGTCAATAACCTTTAGTTTAAAATTTTAATATGAGAAGTTTAATATCTAACGGACAGTCTCACAGTCTCCAAAACGTTGACATATTTTTAATTTATCATTTTCTATGTAAAGTGTCATTCAACCCAGTTTGGCAGGTTATTTGTTTGGATGCTGGTGATGAAATTTTCAGATGGTCCCGAATAGGATACTATATCACTAGAGCATACCCATAGCTCCCAAATAGCATTGGATGAGGGGAGAGAGAGAAACTAGAGACACAAACTAGGTCATTTTGGGACTAACACATGGTTCAATTCTATTTCAATAATTCGCTTGTGCGTAGGGGTCTTTAGCAGTGGGAGGAAACCGGAGGACCCAGAGAAAACCCACGCGGTTGGAGAGGCGATCTTACTCCTTGTCACGTACAACCGGGGAATCGAAACCCCGCCAGCTGACTCAATGACAGACGTATGATATAGCGCGCACATGTTAACCATTCGGCCATCCACCACCCCCCATCCCACCCCCGGATGAAGGGACTACGAAGCTACAGATATGTTCTTCGATATCATTGTTGCATATTTTTGAGCTACTTAGTCCTTCAAAACCACGGGACAGGGACACAAGTATTACCGGTACTATGTTACAGACCATGGTTAAACTACATTCAGTTTTTTAACATGATAACCATGGCAATATTGTCAACATTTTCATAGGTTGTCAATTTGAAAGATTCTCTACTGTGGTTATGGCCTGAAAATAGTACACGTTCCCTGCAATCTAGACATATTATGTATTAAAAATGTCTAGCTAATTTATGTCTGAGCTTGCCATGGAGACATTCTTCTCGCCCTTCTGTTCAAGCGGACGCATAAAATTATTTTTCAAAATTAAATCTGAACACATCGACAATTTCTGAAAACAACATTTGGTGCAACATTCATTGAAACATGATCGCCATTTAACTATTTCATTTAGAAATAGATAATCAAGATTTTTTTTATTACTGTACATGTAACAATGGTACCAGTACTTGAAAAAAGATTATCTGAATCTTACATAATGCATCTTTAATTATGTTTTAGTGTATTTAGTATATGTTGTTGAGTGCTGTATTTAAATTGAAAATTTCAATATATGTCAGGAGGACTGTACTACACACAAACAAAACCCGTAAGACAAAACTGTGGACAAGACACACATTATGCACAGACATGGCAAATAATATAAACAATATACATATAGATCAAATCAAGTGAATGGATCCGGGGACAAAATGTAAGCGAATTAAGCGTCCACACGTACATGTATGTTGTACATTACGGATATGTGTCAACATTTGATCTTTTGGTAATGACTACCCTAGACTTTTAACACCTTTAGCCAAATTGTTAGCCAAATCAAAATTTTATTAGCCAATTCAAAAACTTGTAGCCAAATATCATATATCATTCTTGTTCATCATTTTTATTAGATGTCATACGAATAACATTCGTAGTTGTACTCGTATAGACCTCATCACATCAATGACATTGACAGTATCTGCTGTATCGTTAATAATATGCTTTGCGGATGAAGGTAGGAATAATTAATCTATTCTCATTTTCGGTTTGCGTAAATAATCATTAGTAGTCCTATTATAATGTTTAGACATGTGAATAAAAGAAATTGAAAAATTGTAGCTTAGTGGATGTAACCAAAGCAGCGCCACACAAAGGGGTGTAACTGTGTTTGAAAGTTAATAAGTTTCAAGATTCGATCTTTCGGTCATTTTAATGCTTTACAAACAATGACTAATTTGCAGCTTGTAAGTGACACTAAAAATAGACACTAAATCAAGTCAATCAAAAGTGTTGAATAAAAGGATTTCAAGTTTAAATTAGCAGATTTACGGAATTACACTTTCTAAAATTCATTTGCCAAAACTTTCACCACTATCATCAATTTGATCGGCAATAAAAAAAATTATCGGGTGGTCACTGCTTTGTCATCGTAGTATCTCAGGCATCAATAAATAGTTCCACTTACCTATTGGTTCCTGGAAGCCCGAGTCGACACTTCCTTTATAGAATTTATTCCCTGCATGATCTGTAAGAAATATTATCAAGCATTTTATTCAAAATTTCTAAAACTGTCTTATAATGAGTATTGAAAATGAAAAGGTCTATGTATGGTTTTCAGTAAGTAAGATAGGTTGCCAGGCAACGAAACATACGCCCACAGCAACTAAATTGTCCGGGCAGTCAACAAGGGTTGTCGCATATTTTTACTTTTTTCGGTAATGAAACATTTATAATACACTAAAATCTGATTAAGAGCAACAACTCACGAAGTAATTATCAGAAAACTATTAGAATTTGTTTGGTTTTTATAAAGTTCTGCCCCATGCTAACGTTTTGTATGCAAAGCTTTTAATATCATAGATTTAACTGTTCAAGTCATAAAAATTCATTGAAAATCAATATACTTGTTCGTCTCAAGTCTCAAGATCTTAAACTCTGTGTATCAATCTGAAGTCAATCGGATGATAACTTAAGGGCCATAACTTTGGCAGTAATTATCGGAAATCGTTGAAAATCAATAAGAATCTTCGTCTCATGACCTCAAACACTGTGTCTAAATTTAAACTCAATCGGATATTAACTTGAGCCTCAAGAGCATCCACAAGATTTTTTGAAGTGATCAAGGGCCATAACTCTGGCAGTAATTATCGGAAATCGTTGAAAATCAATAGGCTTCTTCGTCTCATGACCTTAAACACTGTGTATAAATTGAAAGTCAATCGGATATTAACTTTGGCCTCTAGAGCATCCACAAGATTTTTCAAAGTGATCAAGGGCCATAACTCTGGCAGCAAATATTGGAAATCGCTGAAAATCAATAGGCTTCTTTGTCTCATGACCTTAAACACTGTGTATAAATTTGGCCATTAGAGCATCCACAAGATTTTTTGAAGTGATCAAGGGCCATAACTCTGCCAGTTATTATCGGAAATCGCTGAAAATCAATAGGCTTCTTCGTCTCATGACCTTAAACACTGTGTATAAATTTAAAGTCAATCGGATATTAACTTTGGCCTTTAGAGCATCCACAAGATTTTTTGAAGTGATCAAGGGCCATAACTCTGGTAGTTATTATCGGAAATCGTTGAAAATCAATAGGCTTCTTCATCTCATGCCCTCAAACACTGTGTATAAATTTAAGGTCAATTGGATATTAACTTTGGCCTCTAGAGCGTCCACAAGATTTTTCAAAGTGATCAAGGGCCATAACTCTGGCAGTAATTATCGGAAATCGTTGAAAATCAATAGGCTTCTTCGTCTCAAGACCTTAAACACTGTGTATAAATTTAAAGTCAATCAGATATTAACTTTAGCCTCTAGAGCGTCCACAAGCAATTGTGGACGCCGGACCACCGGACGGACGGACGGGGGCGACGACAATATACGACCACATTTCAATGTGGGCATATAAAAATGTAAATCTAGTTGAAAGAAGGCATCCCAGATATATTTTAGTGAATAAAACTGATTAATTCTGCGTGAAAGACTTTGCTAAAGTCTTATTCAACTACCTGAAGCTCTCTGATTGTTTCCTGAATAAATACAAATTCTCAGTATCATGTGGTGTTAGCTGTAACTAAATTAACCAAATAAAGTGACTTTCATTTTTATTTGGGTTATCCTGTGCAATTTGGGACCAGTATCTATGAGACCAGCATTCATAGCTCTTCAAAATACTTGTGCAACCTCATCTATAAAAGGATTCTGACTACACTTTTAATACCAGTCGACATTCGTAGAAAAATGAAATTGTGAGAGAGAAATGGGGTTTAACATCCACGGGACACAAAGTAGGTCTTTTTGGGACATACAGTTCAATTTTATTTCAATCATTCACTTGCATGTAGAGGTCTTTCGCAGTGGGAGGAAACCGAAGGACCCGGAGAAAACCCACAAGATTGGACAGACGACCCTACTCTATCACGTAATGCGTAAAGTTTTTATTCATTCATGGGTGATGGACAAACGACACAACAATCACGTGACAACCATAATTGGAATTGCTTTACATAAAATAAAATTCTGTACGACTATGCCATAGCCTTTAAATAATAAAGGACAATATTTTTAAAGATAGGTTGCCTGGCAACGAAACATTCGCCCACAACAGATAAATCGCCTGGGCAGTCAAGAAGAGTTGTCGCATATTTTTACTTTTTTCAGTAATGAAACATTTATAATACATGTACACTAAAATCTGCTTAAAGGTCACCGGAAAAGCATCAATTTTTTAAAAATAATGCAAGTAATTATGTCAACATATCCTTTCTATAAGTATAACCCGAACCCGAATGTCAATATTACCTGCAACAGGTAAATTTCAACATTAGTAATTTCCGCCGTTCTCCGTGGGTAGTCGTAACTTTCCGTCAATAAGCAATCTGTGACGTCACTTTAGTCCTTCTGCACATAGAAATATAGACTAGAATATGAGCAGAAGGACTAAAATGATGTCACAGATTGTTTATTTACGGAAAGTTACAACTACCAACAGAGAATGGCGGAAATTACTAATGTTGAAATTTACCTGTTGCAGGTAATATTGACATTCGGGTTTGTGTTATACTTATGAAAAGGATATGTTGACATAATTACTTGCATTATTCAAATAATTTATGAACCTTTTCCAGTGACTTTTAAGAGAAACAACTCATTCAGTAATTATCAGAAAACCATTAGAATTTGTTTGGTTTTTATAAAGTTCTGCCCCATGCTAACATTTAGCATACGAAATATTTAATATCATGGATTTAGCTGTTCAAGTTAAAAAAATTCATTGAAAATCAATATACTTGTTTGTCTCAAGACCTTAAACTCTGTGTATCAATCTGACATCAATTAGATGATAACATAAGCCTCTAGAACGTCACAAGATATTTCAAAGTGATCAAGGGCCATAACTCTGGCAATAATTATGTGAAAATCAATAGGCTTCTTCGTCACAAGACCTTAAACACTGTGTATAAATTTAAAGTCAATTGGATATTAACTTTAGCCTCTAGAGCGTCCAAAAGATCTTTTTAAGTGATCAAGGGCCATAACTCTGGCAGTAATTATTGGAAATCGCTGAAAATCAATAGGCTTCTTCGTCTCATGACCTTAAACACTGAATAAATTTAAAGTCAATCGGATATTAACTTTAGCCTCTATATTATAATTGTCTTTTTGAGAGAAATTTAAGGTTGCAACACTACATGTACACATGTAATCGTTTTCATCACTTCTATTTAGTTCTTTTGTTATAAAACTTTACTGATAGAGAATCAGTTCAGACAAATTATTTGCCCCTGAATTTGATAATGTCGCTTACAAACATGAATGATGAATACAATTGACTTTAGACTAATACTTAGATACAGTTAAATGTTATTTTCCAGGTTACATGTACAGGACCCTGTGGTTTATCATAGTTAATCTGGCAACTCTAATCCTTGAAATCACCAAGTAGCAACATTAATCCTTGGCAGCACTACTCTTTGGTTCCCTGTGGCATTTTTAACCCAGTTAATGCTAGGTTCCCATTTGTGGTTTTAATCGTGGAATAATCATGATGATCCTATCAGGTCTTATCATAAACTGCAGTCAGTCGTAGCAATTGTGTTAATTGTATTGAAACTTATCTGCACCTACCAGGACGTGAACTCAATAGGAACAATCCTATCGTAATGCATCGCACGGCAGTGGGAACTTAGCATAATTTGGAAAGTCTATTACTGGATATAAGAAATTTCCCTTTATTAGGTCAACATTAATAACAATTTAGGAAACATTGTAAATTCATTCTTAACATCAGTTATTGGTTAATGAATTCACAGTTTCAACTGATCAAATTCAATATCTTTGACTGTGTATAACATCTCGTCATTACATTTTGAGACTAACATTTGTTAATCTGAAACATGTGTAAACACATGACTTGAATAGCCATATAAAGACACCATTTGGCTCATTATAACAAAAAGTCAAAAATAACTTCATGCACACTTTGTCGAAGACTAATCAATATGCCTTGAGCAATGTAACTAAGCAGTTATGTGGTTTGGATCGGAATCATCCTTCCTAGTTACATATGATATTTAATATATCATAGGAAAAGATAATTGCAAAATAAACCATGGTTGATATTAAATGTAATACAGGGTGGCCTAATAATTGTTCTCAAGTAATCATAGACCCACGGCCTGCAGTCATCTTGAAAATAGCAAATAATGACCCCCCCATCAGAGGCAGCACACATCTTTTAATCGTGATTGTTCAAACAAAAAATTTATCTCTTATCAAGAGTGCAGAAAAGCAAGAGGGATCTAAAAATAACCAGGAAGTACTATATATAAACTGGATGATGAGTCTTGTGTTAAGGTTGAGTAGACAAGGTAGCAACTCACATTGATAATTATTTGACGACATCTTGACAGGTCTATTTGCGTAAATTCTTCTGTTGATGATGAAATAAAGGGCTGATCTAAGATTTCGGTCAATCAGGAAATCTCAACATGATTCCTGTCACCTGAAAAAGACAAAAAGATAAAAAAATTAAAGATATATATTCCTATTTGATGCTTGACTTTCTATTTGCATAACCACTGCTTTAAACATACATTATGCAAGCGCTAAATCTGTCTATTGCAGGTCTTTCTTTAGGTCTGAAATGTTATCTAAATTATTAATTAGACATTAACCTATCCAGAAAATAATCAACTCTAGATGGCATCGCTAGCCTGCGATCTTTAGCGGATTGTGAGCCGATTTACTGCACAACTTTCCTTCACGATTTAACGATTAAATGGATAATCGAGACTATGCTGTTTATCGTACTGACTTTAGTAATGATGATCAAGGCTAGCCGGAAATTTCAACCGCTTAGTTCTCGGTTCATAGTGGATCAATTTGAATGACATTTTCGGCAAATTGCCTTTACATTATCTAGTTTTTAACTATTATAGTGAGAACTGCCAACTCGTTATCGAATCTCCCATAATGTATCTTTAAGATTACAAGTATATGTATATCCCAAATTGATTCAATGGCATCTAGTAAATGAATTAGAATATACAAGACACAATACTAAGGAATACAATCACTGTTTATTACTGAGTATTGTTTCAATTAGGGTGTCTCTAGTTTTCATCAAGCAATGATAAAGACTAGAGAAGCCTAGTTGAAATGTCAATTAGTAATAAACAGTGATTGTTTTCCATAGTATCTTGTCCTGTATACAATGTATTTATAAATGAAATGAAATGAAATAGGGTTTAACGTCCTACTGTTCAGCTCCAGCTGGGCTAATGAAGACGAGCATGCGCCATACAGTGTGCTGTGAGGGAATTTTGCCCGGACAGCGGCGCTAAGGCCTACTCTTATATTGAATTACAACTGTCAAGAGATCTTTTACATGCACGCCAATGTTTACATGGGACGTCAGGGTTTTTTTCATATCCAAACGACTAGACAGCTGTCCTTGTTAGGCCCTCCGTCCTGCACCACTGAGAAGGGGAAGTCACGCCGGAAAATCCCAATGAACTTTCTCGGCCTATGCAGGGATCGAACAAGCGACCTCCAGACTAGCGAGCCAGCTTCTCACCCACTCTGTCACTGTGGCTCCCCAAAAATCTAAATATACTGCCATCACTTAGACATAGGCGAGGTGTTCATGTTGACAGTTCCATACATGTATAGTTAGCCTATGAACCATAGCATCATATGGTTAGTCTATGACAGTACCATATAGTTAGCCTATGCTATGGCAGTGCTGACAGTACCATATAGTTAGCCTATGCTATGGCAGTGCTGACAGTACCATATATATAGCATGACAATACCACATAGTTAGCCTATGCTACGACAGTACCATTTATAGTTAGCCTATGCCAAGACAGTACCATATAGTTAGTCCATGGCAGTACCGTATAGTTAGCCTATGATAGCACTATGATATTACCATATATTCTACGACAGTACTCTGATATTACCACATAGTCTATGATATTACCATTTATAGTTAGCTTATGATAGTACATGCACCATATAATTAGCCTATGATAGTACCATATAGTTAGTCTATGACAGTACTGTGATATTTTCACATAGTCTATGATGGTAGTATGATATTACCATACATACACTGTAGTTGGCTTATGATATTACATGTACCATATAGTTGGCCTATAAAAGTATGATATAGTTAGACGATGTGAAAATATCACAGTACTGTCATAGTTAGCTTATGATAGTACATGCACCATATAATTAGCCTATGATAGTACCATACAGTTAGTCTATGACAGTACTGTGATATTTTCACATAATCTATGATGGTAGTATGATATTACCATACATACACTGTAGTTGGCTTATGATATTACATGTACCATATAGTTGGCCTATAAAAGTATGATATAGTTAGACTATGCTAACAACTAGCTGTGAACTGCAAAACCTGCAGTTGACAAAAATAAAAATTTCCCTCTATTGTATCTATTGCGAGCTTACTAATTACTTTCAAGCTATAACTTTATTTTTCTGGGTCAGACTAGTTTTCTGAATGCAGTAAAAAAAAAAATCTAATTAACCAAGATCAAGCTACACAAAATTCATTTGCTCAGGATTCAATTACCCAGTGCATGTATCTAAATGTCTTTGTGGGCAGTTAGGTAATTTTACCTATCCAGGTACGGTAGCTACGATAAAATAGCTAAAAACATTGAGATATACTGTCTTTAACTAAGGTTGGATGCCTTTGGTTTCACCTGGCAAACTTAAAAATAAGTTAATTTTATACTATTAGGACTACTTAAACATACCCGGTCAAATGTAGTGACACAACTTTTGTTTATCTGCAAATATTGTTAGTAAAGTTAATCAAGTAGTGTTTTTAACAAAATCGGATAGGCCATTCATAATTACGGTGTATTAGACATGCGCGACCCTTAACGGTTCTCTTGCATGTACTTGTGGTTTCATGTCCCGTATCTTAATTGGCTGTTGTACAGGAGATATATTTAGCCCCACCTTCATGACATCAAACCTATTCTGTTTTAAAATGTCAGTTAAAGCCATTTTTTAAAGCTTCGATTTAAGAGAAATGATTTTTACCGATGTCAGGTAGGATTATATGCTTCATTGCACGTTTAGTTGGATGTGGCAGAAATGTAATACATAACAATAGTCGATCGTTGTTTTGAAGAAAAAAATGGACACTTTTGCTTATTGAAGTACTATGTGAATCACATCTGCACCTGCCAGAAAGAACTATATAGTACCACCTTTTATCTCGAGACACGCAGGGACGAGAGATGAGGTTTCTTATCTACAATCCAGGGTAAAAGTACACTTGCCCATTGTGAAATAATCCAAAATATCTGACCCTAATGGCCTCCGACAGTTTTAGGCAAAAGTCATCCAAGAAGGCGCATAAGCTTTAAGTTTCTGACTCTCATGGTCAACATCTGTCAACAAAAAAAAAGCCTGCGAGAGTTCAGATTTTTTTGATTAACTGTGAAACACCCTTGGTTGTGATGCAAAGTACAATAAAGACTAAATCTAGTAGATAGTTTACATATAGTTTATTTACTCGAACATGCAACAGGTGGAAATTGAAGTTTGTAGCCATACATGTACTATAATTTACTTAACCTCATTATTGCACTAGTTGTTTTTTAAAAACCTAAATCTTGATGATTTCATTCTCAATTCCTACAAAATTCTACTCTCATTATTATGTGCACGAATGTTGGTTCATATTTTCAATTTGGTAATCGAAAGTGACATTTGGAATAAGGAACTTTCCAACAAAAAAATTTTTATTCAATACATGTATCAGGATTGCAGGACTTGGATAAATCATGTTGACATCTTATTTCAATAAACTTATTCTAACAAATGAGCCTAAATGTCACTGATAGTGATTGACACTAAAAGCCTCTGACTTTCATTTGCATTTTTGGGGACAATCTAATTTTTTACAACTTAATCCACACTAAGTTGTACTCAAATTAATTATTTAACATTCAATTAAGAAAACAATACCAAAATATCAACAGCAGAAAACCCCAGGGATTGGATTCAATCGGAATAAACGGAGGCCCATCAAAAGATTTTACCCACACGCTTATTTATAACGTCTGCAGAGTATGCTGAATTTTGAGACATTTTCTTTGTAAACTACTGGACAGAATTTAACGACTTTTAGACTGATATGACTTTTAGAGACTCAATTTTCACAATATTGTAGTTCGCGAGGAATTAATAATACCGGTACCTGAAATGATCAGCAGTAGCTTTATGATAGGTTGCCAGGCAACGAAACATACGCCCACAGGAGCTAAATCATCCGAGCAGTCAACAAGGGTTGTTGCATATTCAATCTTTTGAAGTAATGGGGGGGGGGGGGGTCGGGGAGGGGGCATTCACAAGACAATTTCAAACAGATCAGATTATAATTTTTGTCCTTTGAGGGTTCACAAGGTGCCTTAAATATGAAAATAATATACAAAAATTGTTGAAATTCGTCAGCATTTTTTGTTTTACTAATTTAAATAATGCATATAAATTTCATATAAATCAGATGATCACTTGTCGTCCGATCATTCACATTGTTCAACAAAGTAAAACAAGGCCCATAACTCAAGAAGTAATTATTGGAAATTGCTGAAATTCAATAGGCTTCTTTGTTTCACTTATTTAAATGATGTATATAAATTCCATACAGATTGGATGATACCTTTCATCATTCGAGCATTCACAAGGTTCAATAAAGTTAAACAAGGGTGATAACTCTAGAAGTAATTATTGGAAATTGCTGAAATTCAATTTGCTTCTTTGTTTTACTAATCTACATGATGCGTATAAATTCCATACAGATCGGTGGTTATAAACTTACATTTGTAAGCTACGTGATTGACCCATGATTTCCACAGTGTCGGATCTTTTAAGCTCCTTGATGTTGGCCGACAGCATGTAGAAATTAGTCACTTATGTCACATATCCTAATTGTACATAACACCCCAAATCAGTATGTATCCAATAACTCGTCTGCGATATCACTTCGGTGGAAGCGAGCGTTAAATAAAGCTATTTCACACACACACATATCCGAAAAATACTGCCAAATAAATTTCGGGATATCATTTTTTTACCCTCCGTATATAAATATAAGACGAATGCCGGACTTTTGCTGAAAAATGTATCGACTGAGACCAGAAAAATATGTTAATTTTGGAGGAATTTGAAACAGTACGGATATGTAGTCAGCACGCTTTCATTCTATCGTATTACAACATCAAATAATTTTGTGGCAATATTACTGACAAAAATTTGAATACCGTACGGGAATTAAATATGAAAAATACAGAGGTGCACCTATTTTTTATTACGTACAAATTTGAATATTTTGTTGACATGTGATTTTCGTGTGTGGTCTAAAAACTGCCTTCTTAAATAACAATAAGAGTTATGTCCCTTTATTTTCGGTAAAAATGTCCGACAAGAAATATTTTGAAATCCCATCACTGGTCAGAACTCCAAAAGAAATTAACGGAAATTGCTGAAATTCAATAGGCTTCTTTGTTTCACTAATTTAAATGATGCATATCAATTTCTTTCAGATTAGATGATAACTTTCGTCATTCAAGTGTTCACAAGGTTCAATAAAGTGAAACAAGGGCCCTAACAGTAGACGTACATGTAATTAATGGAGATTGCTGAAATTCAATAGGCTTCTTCGTTTCACTAATTTAATTAATGCATATAAATTTCATACAGATTGGATGTTATTTTTTGTTGTTAGAGCATTCACAGGGTTCTACAAAGTGAAACAAGGGCCATACATGTAACTCTAGACCTAACTAAAATAAATCGATGAAATTCAATAGGCTTCTATATTTCACTAATCTAAATAATGCATATAAATCTCATACAGATCGAATGATAACTTTTGTTGTTAAGAGTGTTCACAGGGTTGAACAGAGTGAAACAAGGGCCATAACTCTAGAAGTAATTAACGGAAATTGCTGAAATTCAAAAGGCTTCTTCGTTTCACTAATTTAAAGGATGCACATAAATTTCATACAGATCAGATAATACTTTTGGTCGTTCGCAAGGTGCAGTAATGTGAAACAAGGGCCACAACTCCAGAAGAAATTAACGTAAATTATTGAAATTAAATAGGCTTCTTCATCTCACTAATGTAAACAACATATATCAATTACAAAACAATCAGATGATAAATGTGGCCTGTAGAGTGTTCACAAGAAATTGTGGACGACGGACCGCCCGAAGGGGGCGCCGACAATATACGACCACATTTGCACAAAAGCAATAGGCTGTGTAGTATAGTTTGAGTTCACTGTATATCATAACCAATTTTGTATTCGCCCCATGCACCCTTTGACTACTGATATGTATAAATTTGCTTAAAGGGACATGAAATGATGTTAAATATTTTTACCAGCCATAGCCACCACCTACATGTACCTGCATAATAATAGGCATCTTTTTGATCCAATAGTATTCAAGCTGGGAGATTATATAATGTTGATATTTTGAATTTCTTAATTAAATGTTATTGTTACATAATCAATGTGAGTACATTTTAGCGTGGATTCAATCACAAAAAAAAGATGGTCTGAAAAATGCGCGATTGGAATCAGTGACTTTACCTTTCTTGTGAATTCTAAAGTTGATATTGTTTAAATCAGATTAGTATTTACTGAAAAAACTTTTATAGCTGAACTAGCAGACATGTAATTATAATGTGTGTATGCACTTCTTGGTTTGGCATACAGCAAATACAAGTCTGGACATCACCTGCACTGTCTGTGACATGTGCTATTACGTCAAGGTTTGTTTATGGGTATACACAGGTACATGTTAATTTGTGATAATTTGCACTTGACAATGTCTGTGACAGGTGCCTTACAGGGCTGCCGACAACCAGTATCGCAGCGCAATTTGCGATACATATTTTGTCTGTTGCTAATCAAAAATTAAAATCTAACGTTTTTGATATTATGCCTGTCATTTTGAATACTGACACGAAAATTTATCCAGATTTTAAAGACTAGAAGGCTTTCTCAACACTTTCAACGTAAATAAAATATCAAATAAAATTGTATAAAAAAAAAAGAATTCTTCGTGTGACATTTTCTTCTCGACTACCCAGACACAATTCATGATACTATATAATACAGGGACATAACTCTATGAATAGGGACTATTAAACCAGAAATAGAGAATCAAGATGTACCACTCATGGTGCGAGACACGTCAATTTCAAGTAATTATATCAGTATTCAATTTGAAAAAAATAAATCTAGTGTATCCACCACGTATTTTAAATAAAATATAAAAAATAAATTTATGTAAACGTATTGTAAAATGAGAAATAAACATAAGATTACCCGTAAAATATTATTGTTTATATCGCGTGTGTTGTATGTCTAGTTAATTTAGATTATTTGTAAACAAAAATATTGACGCACGATAAAAAGCAGATGAAATTGTTTTCTAACGAAAACATAAGAATTAAAATGAGTGGGGCGTTGGAAGCCACTGCCAAGAATCTAACCAACAGTCTACATCACATTCACAAACTGTCACAGCTACCTGTAGCAGTGCTAAAAAAAACCCTTAAGAATGAAATCTAATCATTGGTTATGAATTACAATTAAAGTAATATCTTGTTATTTAGGTGTTTTATGTTGAAACTGAAAAATGGCTAATCAATTTTTATGTCCATGCATGTTGACATACATTATAAGATTTGACATCATGTCAAATCATATTCATATCTAATACCGGTACAAATGAAATAGAAGGTTTATGTTTATGCACACGAAACACTGGAAGTGTATGCTAATGGTGTTACACAATTAGAACTTAATAACTTTAAGCCATTCATCTATTAAGGATTTCAGATTGATGCAAATGATGTCACACTATTTGTTACACCTATTATGGATTGCTGTTTTTAGCTATTCTCCCACTTCTTTCATGCTTATTTATTTCTTTTACTGATACGCTATGGGACTATTTTTGCCATTTCTTATTAATTATTTAATAAGGTTAGAGGTTTGTTACTAATACCAATAATTGAAACATCTAAATGGAAAAAAAAACATAAGTGATAAGAGAACAAAATAATTGAGTTTAATTTCTTTAAAATAGACAAGTTTATATCAATTAAAGTTTTGGCAAATAAGGCGACATAAAAAAAAGTTAGTTGGTGATCGTCCCCGCCCGCCCAGAAAATACTACCCGACCAGAATTTTTTTTTATTTTTTATTTTCAAAATTTACCTTCTTACGATGTTTAAATCCAACGGTTAAAGTTACAAAATATAGCCAGACTAAGAAATTCCTAAGCGCAAAAATTGATGAAGTGGATATAACTATTGACACGTGTTCCAATACTCTTAAAATGCGTAGGACTGAATGAAATAAACAAATTGCGACCTGTTAACGGCAGCAATTTATGGCCGACATTTTCGTTTGCACGCGTACAGCACACAACCTGGAACTAGGCCTATATGTTAAGATGGGAATACGTCTCGCCGATTCTGAATGACCTGGAACAGTCTCTCGAATAAATGTAACAACAGATTTTTCGGAATGGCCATTGGTGGTATGAATGACTAAATCGACTGATCATTAGATCTAGTGATCGTAAGTCATTATGCAAAATCAAAATGTTTTTTTTTTCGGTTTTTTCTTCACACACTTTACGGGTTCTTCTGGTCTTACTTTTCGCAAAATACAATATTATGAAAGTTGAATGTCTACAAAGAATATCAGTCAAAAGACATGATATGAATTGAAAATTTTGCAACATTTGATATCCTGCAACATTAAACCAGTCAGCACCACCTATGGCTATAGGCCTCAGTGTTCAGTTATAAATCTCTTTATACTATCTGATTGAATCCAAGCCGGAATATCTAAAGTTTAAATAATTAATCTGAACAATTCAAATGACGATCAGCGGCTTTATATGCAGATGATCAGTTGTGTGTTGACATGAAATAAAAGGTTAATATTCCTGAAGTATATTGCTTATTCTGTATATTCATTTAAAAAAAATAAAAATAAAAACCTCCCTCCCTCCCACATTTTTTGAAAAAAAAGGACGATTACCAACTATTTTTTTTTAGGTGGCCTAATAGTGTTATTTTGTACACTTGCTAAAGTTGCTTAAGTTTCTACAACACAATGTCAATTTAATGCACAACTATGCACCCATTACTATTTACAGAATAATTTTCCCATAACTATTTAAAAACAACTAACTGGCTTTATTCACTGTTTATTTAGTATGAATTCATTATGACATCACTGGTCTAACTGTTGTTTATTTCAAGAGATTATTGACATACTGCCGTTATCCGGCTGGGTAATGGTGTCTATACTAATGCCTCTATAAAGTTTCGATTGAGTAATGAAAATGAACGCAAGTGCCCCATAAAGTTCCAGTGAGAACTGTTTTCTTAACTTAGAGCCAACAAAACGACCTTATTCACTTCATACGGTCCATGTCATAACACTATTAAACTATTCCTGCAGTAGAGATCTAGATTATAGCTGGTTTATTTAGGATTTTAATGACATGATTTTGAGAGGCGACTTCGTCTCGAGCTTCATGGGAGGTATGGCAGGTCGTCTTTTGCTCACTTACCATGCCGCCTGGAAACACGACAGGTACTTGGACAGCCAAGAGACATATTGTAAATTTATTCTTACCTTTGAAACGCAATATCAAAGTATATCCAAATAGCTGGAGTTTACAAAAGTCCTCGGAAAACCTTCGTCTTCTCGGCTTCATCAGATCTTCGCCATTGCGAAAATGTCACGTGACCTAAATTCCACCAATCGCTATAATGTTACTGCAAATAGCCGCGATCGTTTTCTATGTGTTTCATTCTTGGAGTTATTTGGGGCAGCAGGAACTCTTGTAATATTGGTCAATACGATCGATTTATGATGAACAGAAGCTGAATTTTACATGAAACTTTGTAGATTTTTCACGTAATCGAATCCAATTAATTGTTCTTCCCAATCTTAATTAATTCTTTTTATGAAATAGAAATATATAATTTTGAATATTATTAGGCCGATGTTAATGTAAAAATAATAGTCCGCAGAGATTTAATTGGGTCTGTAGGCGGTAACAGATAGTTGACTGAAAACAGGGATCGACCAGTCGGCCGCTCTTCGATCGATGCATGGATTTTGATTCCTCTGGTAATTTTCTCGACCAAAATAGAACGGCGCTAAATCCAATAAGAATGTGTTATGTGTCATAGTAACAAACGGTGTTGCGCTATCTGGTTGTTTTTTGTTGGCGATGACAGCAGTCCAATTTATAGAAGAGTCGCTAAAAATAGACATCATTATCTTGTTAATAACAGCTACAGCAGAATTGATGGCGATCAGAGATTGACCCTTAACCCTTTTATAATGTTTGTACTTTCTTGCATGAGCATGTTTGAGTTCCATTTATTTTGTTGTCTTTTAATGGCCCGTGTGAGTACGACATAGTCAAATGTTTTAAAAGAATAAATGTGCACATCGCTCTGCTCGGTGATGTTTTTAGGCCCAATCATCCACTTTTCCTTCTGCTGAATCCCTGATTTCGCGTTTTAATAAAGAATTTTGACAGTTTATTTTTGCTCGAATTTTGAAAATTCTGTCTGATTTTATTTAAAACAATTTGTAATCATTGAAAGAATCCCAATGATAAATTCAGTTCCCTTTCTTTGTATGCAAGTTGTATCCTAATTCTACTAATATTACATAATATAAACCCTGGCCATGGACTAAAAAATAATTCCCTATTTCAAAAGTGTGTCAGTTTCGTTTCATTAATAAATTATTCAGTTTTGTTGAGAGGATATCCGCAGGAAATTTCATCGTGTTATGATGCAGGTCGTCAAGCTGATCATTCATTATTTTATCATATTATAACATCCATCCTAATTCTTTCTACATGAAGGTTTGGGTATTGAATCGTTACATACATATGGATGATTATTAAATGTAAAAAAAATGAACTTATAGGGTCGCATCTGACAAGACGACAATACCGACACGATTGTGTCACGAATAACTGATAAAACAATTAAAATGTAAACGCAATTGAGCATAAAACCCGGGAAGTGCCCACGCTTTTGCCGCCCTTTTAGACAGATTATCAGGCTTCGCGGAGCGCAGTGTTATTTTGCTTGTAATTAATTGCAAGGACGAAAACAAAACCTTAATATGTATTGGGGTTTTCGTATTCTTCTACCCATCTTGGAACAAGTTCGTACATATAAGAGATTTGGGGTACATGCGTAACCAAACTTCAAGCTTACATGACTGAACCATAATCCAAGAATAAAATGAAATGAAAGGAAATGGGGTTTGTCCTACTGCAATCCCAGAATATTGTACAGAGCGAGGGGGTGAAATGGGGATTCAAGTTCACTCGACACATCGATCCCTGAATTGCCGAGAACGTTCATCCCGATTTTCCGGCGTGGTTTCCCCTTGTCATTGATGCAGGACGGAGGGCCTGACTAGGACAGCCGTCTAGTCGTTCGGATGGGACGAAAAACCGAGGTCCCGTGTACACATTGGCGTGCACGTAAAAGATCCCTTGGAAGTTGGAATTCGATATAAGTAAAGGCCGTAGCGCCGCTGCCCGGGCAAAATTCCCCTCATAGCACACTGTATGGCGTATCCCCGTCTTTATTAGCCCAGGTTAGGAGCAGAACAGTAGGACGTTAAACCCCATTTCATTTCGTTTCACTCGACACAACTATAGGTCATTTCGGGACTAACATAATATATATGGGAGAAAACTGCAGGACCGTCAGAAAACCGACGAGGTTATACAGGCGACCCTAACTCCTTGCCGCGTACAAGCGTCAAGCGGGGAATCGGAACCACGCCAGATGACTCAGTGACAGACCTTATTATCCACAGCGACGCGCAAAAGCCCCCCCCCCCCCACTGTATAGAACATCTGAAATACAGTATACTCTTCCCAGACAAACAAAATGGAAAAATTAAGGCAATATTCGTGTGGAGTGTCATTTTTCCCCGCTATATTATAGGGTCAAACATCTCATGCTGTAATATGGCGTTGCATGATTAGAGAGAGAGAGAGAAATGGGGTTTAATGTCCACTCGACACAAACTAGGTCATTTCGGGACTAACATATGGTTTAATTTTATTTCAATAATTCGCTTGCGCATAGGGGTCTTTAGCAGTGGGAGGAAACCGGAGGACCCGGAGAAAACCCACGAGGTTGGACAGGCGCCCCTACTCCTTGTCACGTACATCCGGGGATTCGAAACCACGCCAGTCGACTCAATGACAGACTTTATGATACAGCGCGCGCACGCTAACCATTCAGCCATCCAACCCCCCTTGCATGATTAGAAGTGGCACATTGTATACCTGCGATTTTATTATTGCGATTTTATTATTTCGTGGACACCCTTTATAACGAATGTTATTTACTTTTACGTTAATCTGTTTTCATATTAAAATATGCTTTTTGAACAAATTGACGCATGTATGTATAAAACATTAAACACCCTTTTATCGTCCACCAAAACGGCTGGGCTCTTTCATGTATAACAGCAGTTATCTCGGTGACTAGTTGATCCATTTATACATCTTCAATGTTATAAAATTGTGTATATAACCCAAAATCAATCGACTTCTACCGCGCCAATAAAGAGCATTGTAAAGATGTTTAATCGAGAATCTCCCAAATTGACGGATTTCCAAAAGACCATAACACTGGAAGTTCGTGTCCTCCCTACGGATGCACTGAGAAGCAATCTGTGAGTATGGTTGGCCCAAGTCCACTAAAGAAGTTAATTTTCTTGCGTAGATCCCCCGCCGCTCCCCTCCCACTTTTTGGACCAGAAATTGGTCGAAAACCGATACTCATCTTGTTCTTCTTCTTGTTCTTGGGGTAGCCCTCAATTAAAGTCCAATCGACATGAAATTGGCATGCTTGTTCTTTGAACACTTCTGCATCGATTTGGTGAATTTTTAAATTTCACCCAACAACATGGTCAGTTACTGCATAGTACCATCGTACTTGTTTTTAGTTAGGGCCCATTTTTAGTCTTGATTTGACATTGTTTCTGATGAATAGGTAATTTATGCTATAATATCACCAGGATAAACTCTAGAAGCAACATTTACAGTAGGGGTCTCTCGGGACCAGGCTCAGCCCCACCCCACCGATATCCGCACCTAATTAAGAGAAACACTGCGAGGAAAGGGATACATATATGGAATATTTGTACTTATATAACGTAGATTCTCGAGTGTATACACATAAATGTGTAAGATAAAAGGAGTATCGAAGAACTGTTTTCTAATCAATCATTTGTTTAATCGATAGAAGTGCCGTATTATACCAGCTAATAGATAGATACACAGACACCAGTCCACCGACTTTCCTCGTGTATCGTTTAGGGCTAAAGGAAAATCTATAGTTTTGTGAAGCACCACTGGCATAATTTGGAACCAATCTGGACTGGGAAGAGAATCCTTATGATGTGTGATCCTACCCTTTGCAAACAATCGTAAGGTGTTCATGATGTCCAAAACAACATTATTTTGATTATGTCAATTAGTGTGTTTGGTATATTTTATTTTGGTGGGCCAAGGAGTATGATGTTTGGTCGATGATTTCAGAAAAAAAGTTTAACAAATGAATGAAACGGGCATTAACGTCCTACTTTTCTGTTTCAATCGGGCGAATGAAGATGGCCATACGCCATGCAGTGTACTGAGGGAAATTTTAACAATTGATATCCAACTGTCAAGGGTTCTTTACGTGCACTCCACGATGTACTCGGGACCCCCTTTTTGTGCCATCTGAACGACGCTATAGACGATGTTCCTTATCCAGGCATCACGGAAGGGGATGCAGCCGGTGCGCCGACCCAGGGCCCATAAGAGTCTATGGGACCCATAAATATCATAGTTCAAAATTGAAATGGGCAATTATGCATGAATTTTTGATTGTTCGGTAGAAGCTTATATAATTATGTACAAAAGTTTTCGCTTTATGGGAATTACGGTGGCTAAGTGGGTAAGATTCTGGCTCGCTGGCCTGGAGGTCGGGTGTTCGATCCGTGCTTTGGCTGAGAAAGTTCATCCAGATTTTCCGGCGTGGTTCTCCCTTGTCAGTGATACAGGACGGAGGGCCTGACAAGGACAGCTGTCTAGTCGTTCGGATGGGACGAAAAACCGAGGTCCTTGACAGATAGAAGAGTAGGTCGTAGTGCCGCTGTCTGGGCAAAATTTCCCCCATAACACATTGTATGGCTTATGCCCATCTTCATAAGCCCAGTTCGGTGCAAAACAGTAGGACTTTAAATTTCATTTTCACTTTATCGCAATCTGCTATATAGTGAATCATCCAGATATGACTTGTGTTGGAAAGCCCTCAGTTCGACATCATTGACAAGGGGAAACCACGCCGGAAAATCAATTTTGTTTATTAGGAATATGAAGGACGCAGTTATTGGGTCAAATACGACATATTAAACATACATTATGCAAGAGCTAAACCTGCCTATTGCAGGTCTTTCTTTAGGCCTGAATTGTTATCTAAATTATTAATTAGACATTAATTAACTTATCCAGACCATAATCAACTCTCGATGTCATCGATGATTAAATCAAGAAATGGATAATCGAGACTATGATTTTATCGTACCGACTTTAGTAATGATGATCAAGGCTAGGTCCAAAATTCAATCGCTAAATTCTCGGTTCAGAGTGGATCAATTTGGCTGAAATTTTCAGCAAATTCCCTTTACATTGTCTAGTTTT